CACCAACCGCTTCGCAGCCTGGTTCGGCTACATGCCGCTGGTGCACTCGCAGCCCCTCCTGGACCCGGTGCTCTTCAAGGACCAGGTGTCCGTGCTGCGTAAGAAGTACCGGCACCTGGAGAAGTCCTAGCGCAGAGGGCGGAGCCAGCTGGCACTGCAGCCCGGGCCGTGTCGGTACCGGCTGAGTCACGCTCCCGGGACGCTGGGCTGAACGCCAGTGCTGCTGGTCTGGCTGCGTGACAGCCGGGGGGAGGGGGGCGTCCCAGTGGGGCCTGGTGCCACGAGCAGCCGTCCCCGAGGGCAGCCACCCTGCGCCCCCGCGCTGGGCTCTGTGTGCGACGGACTCACGCAAACAGGAGCCGGCGGGGGCCCGGGAGGCAGCGTGGCCGGTATTGGGGTTTACCAGTACAAATAAGCGTGGCCGTTATTGGGTTTTACCAGTACAAATAAAGGTCTGCAGGGATGCCGGGCTCGTCCGCTCCTTGGGCGCCTCAGCCGCTCTGCCTAGAAGAGGAGGCCGGTTTCTGCTCAAGCTCCCAGCCAGGCAGGAGCAGACCAGCGAGAATACAATCCAGGGCCTGTCCCTCCCTCTGCTGCCACGAGGGGGCAGCCCCTGCCAGAGAGACAGGCTGGGAGCCACTGTACTTCCCCGATTCCCAAAGGCCTCAAGGGTCCGTTTTCTATCCATGCACCGAACACTTCGGACGGAGCAGGGGGTGAGAGAGAGACAGTCACCCCCAGCAGGCCACGCGGATACTGGCCTCCGATAAAAAACCGACAGGTCACGGTCAATGTTCCCGTCAGTCCTTTCCATCCACGTGTGGAATAATGTTCGGTGCGCGGAGGCACGTGCGAACGTGCACCCCCAGCAGAAACACAAAGCTAGCGGTGGGCGCTCTGCTCATCAGCCGGGCGGCATTGGAATCTCTCCTGAGCGGCTGCACGAGCGCCCAGCTTACAGGGAACACCGCTCAACTCTGCGATGCCTGAGAGCGGGACGGCCCCGGCCCAGCTGTCTGGGGAGCGAGCGCTCTGATTGCCAGCTGCTCCGGCCGGCCGGGAAGGGCAGGGCCGTGCCACCCGCTGGGGCAGTGACACTAAGGGGACTGGGGCAGTAACTTGGGAGAGGGAGGCTATGGAAGGTGCCTTCCCTAGTGGGGAGCCCCCCTTGCTTAAGGGCTAGCGAATGACCCCACCAGTGCGCAGCACAAACAGCAATTAACCCCCCTCCCCCACAGCGCCGCAGACAGGGCGGAGGGTTGCAATCCCTGGCTGGGGGCC